ATACATACACGCACACATACACATACACATGCTTACACATACATGCATACATACACGCTGACAAATACAGACACATACATGCAAGAACTCATGCATTCACTTATGCACACACACACACACACACGCGCGTACACAAACACGCATGCACACGGACACGAATACACATGCGCACACACACACATGCACACGCATACACCTTGTATTTGCATGTGTATACAAATCCCGTTTATTGTCATAGTACAAAGAAGCCCAAGTGGAAGGGAGAGGCCCTCATCTGCCGAACACGAATCAAAAAAAACAACACAGCAAAGCTTCAGATCCGACAAGACTCTTGGCTTAGGGTTTGAGGTTCAGGGCTACAAAGTTACTGGCTTGCCGCACTGCTCGCCAGGCTTCATGTCGCATTGAAACTATAATAGGTCTTGGTATGGTAGATGCCGAAAATAGCCGCGGCTCCTGAGGAGCAGGAGTCTTTCGTGCAACTGGGGGGCTTCATCAGAATGCCTACGGAGTCGTCCCGTTTCGATGTCTTGGAAGTGTATGCCGATCTTTGCGAAAGGCGGATGCCCCCAAACAGCATGCCCCTTGTTTATCTGGAATTTCTAGACTCACTCGAATTCTTCGGGCTTCTGAGGGCCACTCACCACGGCATTCCTCTGGCAATCGGGATCTCGCGCTCCTCGGAGCTCTACGTCCGTCACGTGTCCCAGTTTCGGAGCCTCTTCATCTGGTGGCTGCCAGACACCACGTTGCGCGAGGCTCTTTGGGGTGTATTTCAGAAGTTCGGGTCTGGGGCTGACCCTTTCTCCCTTGAAGGTGTCTCCCTTGGCAGTGCGGCTGCCAGTGCACGACGTTCGGGAATGGGCGGTGGGAAACAAGAGGACCGCCGCCGCCGGATCTGCAGTCCGAAAGCTGGTGAGTGCCGATCTGCGGGTGAGGGCTCCCAGGGCCCAGCGCTTCTTTGCACGCATGTCCTTCAGGTTTCAAGAGCTGCAGGTCTTGTTGGACGAGGTTGGCAGTGCAGAGGAGTCGGAAGAAGAAGCCATGAGGGAGATTGCGTGCAAGTGGGTCAAGGAGAACGGATTGACTTGGGAAGGCTGGGTGCCCAGGAGGACTGATTGCGATGCCGGCTTCGGTTTGGTTAACTACCAGGGCGACTTTGTGAGCTCTCTTGAATCGACTGTCAGCTGCAAGCCGTGCCCATCCGGCCACTTCTCCGACTGGACGAACACCTCTGGGGGAATCTCGGGTGGCTCATATGTCTGCGTTGCCTGCCCGGCAGGCTCCTTCCAAGCGCTCCCGGGCAAGTCCTTGTGCGATGACTGTGCCCTGGGCCACGCGGCAGATGAGGCGGGTGCCACGGAGTGTGGCCTCTGTGATGTGGGCACTTTCGCAGACCAGGAGGGAAGCACGGCCTGCAAGAGCTGTGGAGACGACACCTGGACCACGAAGGAGTTGGCGGCGGTGGATGTGGATCAGGGACAGGGCAGCAACGGTGGTGGTGCTCGTCGGTGGATCGAAGTACGCGGGGCTGTCTCCAAAGATGTTTGTTCATGCGTAGAAGGCCGCCACTTTTGGCAGAACCAGTGCGAGTTGTGTCTGGAGGGCGCGACTTGTCTTGGACCTACGAACCTCACGCTCGACCCGGGCTTCTTCGCTTTTGCAGAGGATCCCAACACCGTCTTCCGCTGCTTCGGCAGCTCGCGGCGCTGCCCGGGTGGACTTCCCGGCAGCTGCGCCCCGGGTCGTGACAACCAGAGCCTGGCCTGCGCCTTGTGTCTGCCGGGCTTGCATGACAACTACGACGGTAGCTGTGTGATGTGCGATGACGTCGACTGGCTAATCCTGGCTGTGCTAGCCAGCCTCCTCTTCCTCGTGCCCTCGGCAGTGCACGCTTTCACACTGGCCATGCAGCTCACTCCTGTTGGCCACAGCCTGATGGAGGCCGGATCGACTCCGGTGAGGTTTGAGCGTCATGTCTCCCGACATGCATGAGGCCTCTCGACTCCCTGTGATAACATATTATTATATCTGAAAGGTTATATTATCATGAGTTTACTGCAATATACTATTATACGATAATGCTCTATTTTTGGGAGATTGCCTACAAGCGTCTAAAGGCAATTGCAGGACACGAAGCCCCCCGAGGTCGGGCCGGGAGGTGGTGGGAGGAAGGGGGCCGGGGGGGGGGGGGGGGGNNGTGGGAACCGGAGCCAGCTCGAGCATGAGGTGGAAGAGGACCACCAGCAATGCCTTGCTTGGTGCTGGTAAGCGCGCTGCACCAATGGCTCCGGTAGCGAGTCGAGGAGGTGCCGGGCGGGCACTGAGAGTGGACGCGGGGCGGGACGAGCAGAAGGATGCCCAGTGTGGGTCGTGTGGACGCTGGCCAAAGGCGCTCGTGGTACACCACAAATCCGAGTACGCTGAGGACGAACACGGGGAGGGTTGCGGCTGTCCCCACTGCAATCCCACTGGCCGTGGGCTGTACTCTGAAAAAACCCGTACCGGCCAACGTGGAGGGAGGATGACCTGGTAGCGGTGAGGAGCGAAGAACCTGAGGATCTGCAAAACAGCCCCATGCGCACCGTGCGGCGGGCATCTTCTTGCCGTGGTGGGTCCATGTCGACCACGCAGCAAAGCGGACGAAATAGGATACGCAAGGCAATGTTGCCAGGTGACTGGGCACCGGTACATGGGTTTGCAACTACAAGCTCCAGAACAATGCACCTGGCGCGGCGAGGTAGATGTGCAAGACCGAACGAAAGGAGAGGACGGACCTGGCAGGGCACGAGCGAGCAGGGAAACAGGGCGAGGCGAGGAAGTTCGGAGGCCGACTGAGCGAGCACACGAGCGAATAAGCGAGGGGAGGAAGAGGGGGCAACGAATGGTAATGCGGTGTGGCACTGTCGCCCTGACGGAAGGCATACGGGCGAGGGGGGGTGCTCATCGGCGAAAGATGCTTTAGTGCCGCCCCCGGAGTCCCGCGCAAGACCCCGTATGACCTGGCACAAACCGTCAGAACTGGGGGAGAGTATATCATAAGATAGCTATTAGATAGATAGATAGATAGATAGATAGATAGATAGATAGATATATATATATATACATATATATATATCGATATCGATCGAATATAGAATATAGCATATAGCATATAGAACAGAGAATAGAGAGTATATAGAATATAGAATATAGAGTTTGATTAGGATTTCGGTTTGAGGGGCCTCGATGGTGATAGGGTCTAGCAGCCCTGGATCTCGCCGCAGAAGTCGTAGCTCCTAACCGAAGCCCCGAACTTTGGAGCCCAAAAGAAGCCCGAAAACTCGCTTGGCTGTGCATTAAAGTGCCTGAAAGAGAACCCTTCCCAGCTTCTTGTTTGCAGGTCACCTTTGGCGTGGGCCAGATGGTGACCAGTGCTCAAGTGCTCGTCATTATGCAGCAGGGTATCCAGTGGGGAGCATCCCGGTCCAATCGAAGTCCTTGGTTTTGCTTTCGGAGCTGGGATGCTTCCCAGAAAGCCGTAAAGTGACCTCGAATGACCTTGATATGCAGAGCTAGGGTTCCAGGATATGCCCCAAAAGGGAAATCTAAAAGTTCCTAAGTCCCGCACCGAAAAGCATCATGGCAAGCACCAGCTCATGAGCAGAGAAGCCTTGGCCTAAGCCGAAAAGCAGCAAACCCTCCAAGGCCCAAGCAGGCCCAACACAGGATGAGCCGAAAAACCCAAGACTTTCCCCCAAACCCTATACATCCCAAGGCCTATGGGGGCGAGGCAGGAGGTCGGGCCACCCCAGGAATTGTATCGTGTTTGTTGGAAGTTCTGGAATGTTTTCCTTGCGGTGCGACCTGGTCAGCTAAGCGGGTGGGAAGAAAGCACCCAAACAGCCAAACCCCTAAACCCTCGCTCGAACCGTACCCGCCATGCCTGCTTTGCGAGTGTGTGAGTCGAAACCCTCGTCCTAGGCGGGAGGGAAAAAAACACCCTAAAACCTGCGCTGCTCAGACACCCAAATTTCTGAGGAGCCCTTCATCCGCCTCCTGGAGTCCCTGGAGTTCGTCTCGCTGGACCTTGCTTAAGAGATGTTAGACATGTAGTGCCCTTCTAGAAAGCTGAAAAGAAAAGTTTCACAAATCGAGGCAGCTAACCGAGTGACCTGTGGTCCGCAATTCAGCATTTGGACAGTCGTCTTTGTGAGGCTCCCTGCCCGGTGAGGGTGCGAAGCGAAACGAGATAACGGCCAGGGCACAGGAAGCAACGGAAGCACGCGATCCGGACACCGCCAAGGAGCCTCAAGTCCGGACACTCCGCAAGACGTGCACACATCCAGGAGACATCATGGAAACGCGCGCGACCCAGGGGCCGCTTGCAACCGGGACAAGGTGGCTTGGAACACCCAGCGCGACCAAGCCGATGCGTGGAAACAGACCGCCTGCCTACATGTCCAACCATCGGAGGAAAGCTGGTAGTCACTGGTAGTCATGTGGAACTTAAGCAGCCCCCATAAGCAGGATTTCCTATGGCGAATCGTCAACTCTGTGAATTGCGTGGTCAGCTTCACACCCGAGCTCCGCTTCTTCAGCCAGTCCCTCCTCTTCCCCAGCATCTTCCTGCTGGTGCCGATGGCGACGCACGTGGTCTACGTCCGCTGCTGGCGGCAAGGCCAGGTTTCAGTGGGACCCGACGATAAGCCCTGAGCCCAAAAAATGCCCAAGCCGGAGGCCAGACGCAGCAGTTCCACCTGCTTCGGAAGACGCTGGGCAGCTTGTCCGTGCTCTTCTTCATCCCCGCCTTATCCTCGCTCCTTGCGCCCTTCCGCTGCGACGTGCACCCGAGCGATACGCGGACGATGCAGGTTCCGGGGCCGAAGCGAGGAATTTACCCCGCTTTTCACGTACGTATGTGTGTGTGTGTGTGTGCGCCTGCGCGTGCCTGCGTGCGTGCGTATGTGTGTGTGTGTGTGACCTCATACCCTTCAACTTAGCTTATGTCTGCCTCCAGCACATGTTTTGCGATGCCACGCCAGCTACTTTCACCGGCGCAGGTTTAGGCAACTACATGTTAGTGACTGTTCGTGCCGTGTAGCCTTTGGGCATGAATGCAAGACTGCACTAGATTGAATCTGAAGCCAGCCATGTGCTTGGCATGTATTGTGCCATCAACTTCCATGTTTGTGCTTGTGCTTGGGTTAGTTGTGGGGCAAAGTGAGACCCGTTCGGCCGTTACTTGTCTTGAGGTCTACGAGTCTGTGGAGTGCGACTTTTCCGGGAGCCACCTGCGCATGTGTCTGATGGGTGGTGTGGTGAGCCTCTGTTTGCTATCCTTCCTTGTCTTCGTTTTCTGGCTGGTCTACGTGGAGCTGCCAAAGAGGCTTGAAGCCTTCGATGTGGAGTTTCTACGCAGCTTCTCCTTTCTGTGGGCACGCTTTCGGCCTGGGTCGGAGGCTTTCGCGTTGTTCTTCCTTGTTCGGAATGCAGTGATCGTCGTTTCACCGCTGCTGCCCTCATCCTTCTCAAGCCTCTTTTTCATCAAGTTCGTACTTTACATCAGTTTTTGCGCGATCGCATTTTTCAAGCCGCTTCGAACGACGGCTACGCTCTACCTGGAATTGGTCATTCATGTCGGCTTCATGGTGATCCTGGATATGGGGATGCTCTTCATGCCGCAAGAGGACACTTCTTTCGTGATGGTCGCTTGCATGCTGGTAAGCCTTCTCGTGCTGTTGGTGATTTTGTTGATGGTGGCCCAAGCCGTTTTCCAGAAGTGCCGGTCAACGTATCGTAGGGAGTTTCACTTCTTCATCAGCCATCAGAAAAGTGCTGCAGGCAGCTTGGCAAGGCTCTTCAAGATAGAGCTCAGCAAGTGTGGCTTCCGCTGCTTCATTGATTGCGATGACCTTACGGATCTGACGAGGCTTTTTTCGTACGTGAGCCAAGATGTGGAGACACTTGCAGTCTTGGCTTCCGGTGATTTTCTGACCAGAAAATGGTGTGTCGGCGAGCTCGTGACTGCGCGGCTTCACGGTGTGAACCTTGAGCCCAAAACAGCTTACCGTTCTCGAGTACTGAAGCACATTCACCCACTGAAACACATGCACCCACCCTGCGTAGAAGTATAGGCCAGTATAGGCCAGGATGAATTGTTGCCTGTGCCCTTAACCCTGAGCCCTAGAACCTCGCCTGGCATGTCCGAGTCGTGAGAGCGTAAACCCTGATCCTCAGCCATGCGAGAGGGAAAAAAAACCCAAAACCCTGGCACAGTCCAAGAGTGAGCTTCGAAGAACCCTCTTAAATTCAAAGCCCGTAAAAGCTGACCTCAGGAAGACTATGCTGGTTGCTCTGCCGGATTTCACGATGCCCGACGAGCGTTTCGTTGCATCGTACACTAGTCTTGCCCCGAAGATCAAGGACCGCAGCCTTAAGTTTGGCGTTCAAGGATGTTTAAGGTTAAGGGTTTAGGGTGAGAGGTCTCCACCATCAGTTCTGGACATCGGCAGGCCCTAAATCGTGGACCGTGTGCAGCCTGCCTGGTGCGAGTGTGAGAGTCGAAATCGTGGACCGTGGATGCGAAAGGCATAAACATAAACCTGACATGATTTCAACCTCAACTTTTAATCAACGCCCGACCGCACGAAACGCTGGCACAGAAGCATGGATGAACCCCGCGAGAATGAAGTAATACCAGCAGAATATATTAGCTCTACCTATTCAGCCCCCGGTTTTGCTACATCCTCCCAGGAGCTTGCAGTTTATGGCATCGGCATGGCGGAAATTCACGAGACGTTGCTTTGGCTGGGGACTCTGGAAAAGTTTGACCTCCAATGGTTGAGCAACGATCCCATTCCCGAGGTCGCGGCGGGGGGGGGGGGCTTGTTGCTTTAGGGTTTGGGGTTTTGGGGGTTTAGGGACTTATTGCTTCAAAGAATTTGAAGGACCTCCATAGAACGATTCTCGGAAAAGGGAAGGCGGAAAGAACCCCCCAAAAGTTGTTTCCTCTAACCAGACCCCAGAGTTTCGTTTGAAGGATTCTGGGAATCAGTGAAGGTGGTGTCATGGCTGACGGGAATGCGCGGACACAGCCCCAACCGGCTGCCGTTGACCAAGAATTCCTCAGCCTCCACAGATTTATCTGTGACCCGGGTGGTGTCGAACATGTCCGAGTGTTTCTGGATCTATCAGTTGGAGCGTTGGGGGCGTAATCAAACCCTTAACCCCTGGACCCCTAAACCGTAGCTTACGAGGTTACTCGCGAGGCTACAAATCAAGATTGAAGGCCACTCAGTCAGTGCATAATCCCTAAACCAGTGAGGATCCTTGCCTGCTGCGTGCTTGAGCGAGAATCGAAGAAGCCCTAAGCCGAGGCTTGATTCTCTGCGACACCACGAACATGGAGGCCAGCTTGCAGGGACGGATCCCTGTAGCGGAGGCATTGCGAGTGTAGGAGTCTTGATGTTTTGGAGGCCATGGCAGCCGCCCATGTGCTCTACGCATTGCTGGGCGTGAAGATGATGGAGCTTTCTATGAAGACGACGCTCCGGATCTTGCTGGGAGAGGATGAAGTTTTTGGATCGGGGGAGAGTCAGGTGCTATTCCTCTGCACGGCAGGGTGTTTGGAGGTGAAGCAGGTGGCCTCCTGTCTCGTGCAGCTGAACCTGGACTCCAGCTGGATCCTCCCGGTGCTTGCGGAGGATTCGTTTCAGATCCCAACGTTCCACGAAGCCAAGCTGAGCTACGACATCGAGGGCGTGGATATGGAACGCTACAGTTACATGTTGGAGGCCACCTTCCACGAAATCTCGGTGCCCTTCACCCCCAGGAGCAACGGGGGTCTTCGTCCTAAGCCAAAGCATACGAAAGCCTTTTGCCCCTGAAGAAAACAGGAGCTCCAATGCCCGGCAGCTCGACCTCCAGGCCAAAATCATAGCCGAGCGCCTCACGCACAGCCACCATGCTCTCCGTACCAAGCATATCACCTCGTCCCAGGAGCTGGCAGGCAGCAGATGCCCAGAGAGCATGAAACACTGCGAGAAGCGAGAGAGGGGGTGCGAGAGATTGACGGGGTTGCGCTGACGCGCGGGCTAGGGGGCCTGCCCCTAGCGCTAACCCCTGGCAAAGCAAAGCAAAGTGTAGGTATGCGTCTGTCCTTTTGCAGGTTTGGTTTCGCCCATGACCAGCTCCGGTGAGGGGCTCCAGGGGCTCTGCGAGGACGTCCTCAGCCCTATGTCGCCTGTGCCCACCAGTCCTGCCGAAGAGTCAGAGGCAGCCACTCCTGCGGAAGAGGTTTATCTGGAGCTCTGAGCGAAGCATTTGGCTTCCGAGTGAGTCTGCTGGATCAAGGAAGCGGGTGTTGCAGTTTTACCCAGTTCCTGGGTGTCCATGAACTTTGTATCCCTTTTAGGCAAACTGCGGCTCATGCCGAAATTCTTTCCAATCAATCGGAGCATCCAATCGCAGGCCTGGTGGGTTAGCCTCGCCAAAGCAAAAATAGACTGGGTTCTGGCGATCCAGCCCAATCGGGATACCATTGCCCAAGCAAGCACAGCTCCGACCTACCATATCTGCTGCTCTCTGGACGTTTCGGCTTCATTGTCTCCCAGTTTAGGTCAAAATGAGTTGCATCCGACCTGACTACGTCGCAATACTGCTCTGACTCATGCAGTTTTGTGTTTCTCCAAGCCGATATCAATTTCAGTTTACCCACATACAGGTAGACATAATTGATCAATCCATATATGTTCCTCCAGCCTGCCAGCCGACACACATTTTGTACGTTAAACTTAGCGACGCTGCATGGATGCAGCGTTGTTTGACCCATGGAGGCTGTCAGAAGACTGAGTGTGGAGTTCTGCGCCTCCCCAGCTTAAGCCCGAGAGGTGGAAAGACCTTTGCGCGCTCGAGGAGGCTACTTTCAGGGATTCGGGATGATCACATGCTGGCGACAGTGGCTGAGTTTTGGCTTGAAGCCTTGCGTCGGCTGCAGGTGGCAAGGCAGCAGCCTGGGCTGCTGCTGTGGTGCTGTTGTTCTTTGACGGCGTTGGCGAAGGCTTCGGAGGCTACTCTCAGTGTTGCGGGCAGACGCTGTGCGCAGAATTGATTTTCCAGTGGGCTTTAATCAAGTCAGCTTCTGGAACCCGTTGGCCTTGTAATCAAGCTGTTGCTTCAGCCAAGTGCAAGTACGCATGCAATGACCTGTCTTGCATGCCGATGCTTGACCCCGAGAGGACTAGTGCTTCCAGCAACTTGGATGGAATGTGTTGGGGAAGGCTCGAAGCAATTCTGCTTCGTTTGTTGCAATCGAGTGGCATCACGGTGATGGCAACCAAAGCTAAGCTGCCGGCGATGGCACGTTCACACAGCCAGCGAGAACTAGTCTGAGCAGTGACACCATGTTGCCTCGTCAGATTTGGTCGTAAACCTGCCATGATCCTGAATGTAGTCATAGTCCGGGCATTGAAATGCCGAACGGTGCTTGTGCTCCTGCTATCTCCTGTTGCTGCACCCGCTGCTGCGACAGCAACCACAACAGGTACTAACTACAACAACGACGAACGACCACTACCACTTCACCACCGCCACCGCCACCGCCACCGCCTCCGCCACCGCCACCGCCACCGCCGCCACCACCACCACCACCACCACGACCACGACCACGACCACGACCACGACCACGACCACGGCCGCCACCACCACGGCCGCCACCACCACGGCCGCCACCACCACGGCCGCCACCACGACGGCCGCCAC